CTGAAATCAGATTAGAAAAAATTATTCTCTAAAAAATGAAAATTCAGTGAGATAATGTATATAAATGCTTAATACAGTGTGGGCAATTAATTTTTAAAAATCTAATGTTTCATAAATTACCTGCTACCATTCCTTGCCTAAATTTCTTAACTTCAACATGAATGTTTTCTCCTAACTTTTGATCACCAGTATTCCCCAAACATATATATTCTTTCATTATATAAACCGCCTTTCCATATTACAAGATCCATGAGGGTAGCCATATTTTGTCTTTTAGCCAACAAGGAACAAGAAATTGTGAGAAATGAATCCATTTTTCATTACCTTTTCTTAGTAACTATTCAAATACCCCTTAATAGACATGTTAAAAAAAAGCAGGACCATAGGAGCAAAATACTACCTGTTACCTAATATAATCTTCTCATCTAATAAATTTTCAATTCATTCTGTTGAGTAAGTTGCTACAAATGCACAGAAGCCATGGACTATTTCCATGCCTGCCTGTAACATAACCTCCTGGGTCCTTTGAGCACTTCCTATGTATTCAACATTGGGCCAGGTTCCTGGGGCCACAAAATAATGACGTGGTCCCTGGTATAATTGTGGGAATTAATCCAGCTGATCTGGATCAAATAAAAAATCATATTTCCTATCTATGAAGGGCTACAAGGTATGATTTTGGCTATATGAACACAGCAGTTGAAAGCTTCAAGAATATGAGAAAAGGAGGGACCAGCATTGGAGGAGTTCACGCTTAAGGGTGAACTAGTGTTTGGTGTTAAGGATGTTTAGTGTTTGGGCAGTTGAACAGCAGAGGAAAATGTCAGACTTGGGAAAATTTATATTATCTGGATTCTACTAAGATCTACTAGTAAAAATCCAAAAGGCACGGAAAACGTAGCAAACAGCCAGATTTGTGGTTGGGTCATTTTCCTGAGTATTTTAGGCAAAACTATACTTTTCCATTTACTTGAATCTTGTGCCTAAAGAAGGCATTAAACAAAAATACCCCAGAAGTGCTGAGGATAAGTGAACGCACTGCATTAGTGTTCAGTGTCCCTCCACTTTGGCTGATTTCAGACACAATTGACAAATTCTTCGTTTAATTGTTTGCAGGCTACTCTTTCACCTGAGTTTCCTCTTTGTACATTATCCACATTTGGATTCATCCCAGAGGCAAATGTGCTGCAATTTTTCAGCCTTGGAAAGTAAAAGCCATCTTCAGATTTGATAATTAACGACTTCTTTATTTTTTAAAGTACCCATATCACTTGGGAATAAATGTGTCAATAGAATGTGTTTTCGACTGTCCTGTGAAAATATTGCAGGAACTCATAAAACCGATTAGTGACATCAAAAAGGCAATAAGACCAGCCCCAAGAACTGGTATAGGAAGAGCTCAAGTCAGATGGACGGAGGAATTGTGGTGTGTCATTTCTCAGCAGGCTGTCCCTTCCCCAGCTCTTATTCTGCCTCATCCAATTCCAGTACGAGTTTCAGAGCTATAAGAGTCACCCAGTGACATCTGTCAGAGTATACCTGCTCTTCCTTCCACTTTAACATTCCCTCTAACCTGAGTCTGCTGGCAAGTGGCACTTAGAAGAAGAAACGTGTCTCTACCCCTGAAAATATGGCACACTACGAGTTGTTAAGTAAATTTCAAGTGATCACATTAGAAGTAACAGCGCATAATGCACCACATTGACAGGCACTGACTCTTAGGAATTAACTGGATTTACAAGATTTAGGAAACAATTATTAAACCAATTAAGTAGTGCTAATTGTGTATTTGTTTACTTAGAGTGATAGACACAGTAAGGCCTATGAGCATTAAAATGCCAAACTCAGTAAGATATCTTTGGAAAAAAACATTCCTTTATTTATTTCACATACTTTTGTTAAGATGATACTTAAAATCTATGTGTTAATTTTAGGAGTATCCGACAATCGGACAACTCATTGATAAACTGGTGCAAAATAACGTGTTACTCATCTTTGCCGTAACCCAGGAACAAGTTCATTTATATGAGGTAAGCAAACATAATTCAGGAAATTCCATCAAGGGGATTATTCGACATGAAACTTTAACATTAACCCTGAGTTTAACGCATGGGATGCTATTAGAAAATTATTAACACATGCCAAATGTACTGGACACTTGGAAAAGTGGATTCAGTTACTGTTTATAATTTAAATGATAAACACAGAGGTGCCAAGAAGAATGGGGACAGATATGTGGGACAAGGAAAAAAGAATTATGGAAATGAAAAAATAAGTCGTAAGAAAGCACCAATAAAGATAGGACCACTTTTCTAATGGAAATCTAGTCTATCTCCCCTTGAACTATTTCATCTGATGAGGAGAGAATTAACAGAAAGCAGAAAAAATTATGAGAATGGGAGGAGAACTGACTTTAAATGCTCTGACATTTGCAAATTAGATACGAGAAAACATATAAGTAGAGACACAACTCAAGCTATTGAGAAGTGGAAAGTTGCAAGAAAAAAACTTGTTAGACTGAACCAAAAAATAATTTCTCCATAAAGTAGCTGGATTTGCAGTTCAAGTTTTGGGATGCCAGCACCAACTACAGAGAGAGAACTTTCATTAGATGAAATAATGTTTGTAAACCAATACTTAAATCGTAAAACGCATATGCAAACACAAAAGATTTCTGTGGTTTCTTTCTGGTCTAAGAAAAACAATGTGTCAAAATGCCATGAATTGAGGTACTAGCAAATGATCTATTTCTAATGCGCAGTGTCACAGAGAAGTAAGGACTCTCTAGCCTGGGACCTAGAAAATGTCAAGAAAATAGGCGTACATTAAATTGTCTCCAACTTTTGTGCTAACGCTTCAAATACACCTAAATTCAGAGTCTGATCTCCCATTCCTTTTGAAAGGATCTCTTAACTCCTCAGTGACTTTACAGGGTTCAAGAAACACTGAGATTACTTCACAGAGGCTTTGATTAAATGCCACTCAATGCTGAGATTGGTGCACCCCATAAACTTGCATTAGGTTATGTAGAAAGGATCCAGGAGGAGATCCTATCTTGCATTTTTAATAAGAGGAGGTTATTGTACTCCAGGTGAGATTGCCTTCTGCTGAAAACCAAGGAAGTCCCTTGCAATCAAGCTGCATACTTGAGGCCTTTGTTCTATGCAGAGATCATGTGGGTTCACCTGATCTGGGCATTTTCTTAAGGCTCTTTAGTATGTGATACTTGTTTCCAGTGGTTTTAAGTAGTAGAACTGCGGTAAAGATTTAAAAAAATATATACCACAAATACAATAGTGAGTCTATTCTGCCTTTGATACTTAAGGCTAGTGTGAGAGGACCCTGGGGGTCTCAACACCTCCTCCACAGCAGGGCTCCTGTTTTGAAGGGGGAGGGGGTGTTGCACAGAACTTTTCTTAACAGGAGAGTCTGGGAAACACGACTGATGATCATGAACACAGACGACCATAACTCATTTTGGTAATAGTCTTTAAGACTCACAACTCATTTATATACCTCCTCAAAATTGCTATTAAAAAGACAGAGGAAAATAACTATGTGGCAAAACAGAACCCGTCGTGTTTAAGCTAGTTGCATCCACGGTTCCTCCCTTGTTGCAAAGGAATGCCCATTTCCAAGAAGAACACCAGATTAGAACTGCCTCTAATGTAACAGCAGGACATTCATTTCGCCTGTCTACTAATCTCATTATGAGGCAAATTTACGTTCTGTCATGATCTGTGGTCTTTACCATCCAGGCTCCGTTAAATTCAAAGGGACATTCGTAGGGAGCCACGTAGTGGACCAGGTCAGCAGCCCACTCTATGACTTCAGTCTTTTCATTATTTTATTTTTATTTTGTTGGGTTCGCTATTCCATCTGTATTAGTGGGGGCAGACAGCTGCCTGGTCTCAAGATAATGACAGCAACATTGCACTTTCCTGAAAGTTTCACACAGCATGAAAATGCTGATCTCTTGTTTTATTGATAATGAAAACTGAAAATAGACCAATAATGGCTTGTGTTGCTTTTCCACTTAAATCTCTTAGAAGGAGCCTTATGTGTGTGCAGCAGCCCTGTGCAACCTGATGTTTGGATAGCTGTGATAGAGAAACTTAACTACTAAAGAATCACTGAAAAATAAAACCAGCAATAGGAAAAGGAAAGCTACTAAGTGGTAGGAGCTAATGGAAATTCCAGGGGGCAAACTGCCTGCCCCAGTTCTGTGTTGAGTAGAGTTGTGTGCATACACCCCAGGCAGGGGATGAGTTAGGTTCAATGGCGCCCTATCTTGCAGCAAAAAGATTTATGTAGCTCATTCATGGAATGCAGGGAAAATGACTGTTTTTTCAGTAATTCTGGTAAGATGCGCTGGGCTTCCCAGATGTGTAGTGCTGCTGTACTTTGTGGTAACAGAGATGAACAAACAATGGAAAGGATAAAGTAAGCAGTTTCTCCTTCAGTTCAATATGACTACAGTGTGCACCCCATACTCCAGCAAACAGATATTTTGAGCAAACTTATTATTACGAATAGTTTCCTGTTTGTCTAATTACAGGGTTCAAGAGATAATGATAGATAATAGACTGAGCCGTAGGTAGTATATTACATTCTAGTGCTAACTACCATTTTGATTCAGTATTCAATTATCCAAGCTTAAAAACAATTTTTTTTATCTCCTCTGTTGTTTTCAAATGTTTACTGTTAATTTACTGTTAATTTACACTAAGATAGTATCAGGCTAATAAGCCTCAACTGTCTAATTTGACTAGTCTTTCCTTCCTAATGAGATATTGAGATAAAAAACAATTAAATAAGCATTCTTTACTACATTGTCAAATTGTTAACCACCTGGGATTATTTACAAGACTTTAAAACATTCTATATCTTTCAAAATGTCTACATCTGCCTGGAAAAGATGAGTTTTATGAAGTTATAATAATAATTATTATATGACCTTGTATTTATGTTGTAGTAATGTTGAAACACAGCACTTAGAAAGTAAACAAGATATATTGGTAATAGACATGTCCAGTTTAGTCTGTGACCATTAATTGATGTCCCTATGGTTATTAGGACAGAGTGATGTGTCTAAAGCATGGGACAGGCACCCAGGCTGGTTTTTATACCACCGAAGGGCCTCTCCCTGGAGGTAAAAAGCCCTTGATTATCAGCTCTTTGAGGAAAATGGTGGGTCTTGTTCATCTTTCTGTTTAAGACAATTTTCAATATACACTAGATTCTCAGTAAATATTTGTTGAATAAATTTTTTAAAAATTGCAGTGCAAACACCTCATCTTTTCTCAAATTGGATTAAAGTTTCTAAATAGGGACTTGAAGTTTTGGGTGACAAATACTTGTCAAGATTGAGGGAACCCATGCGTAAGAGCAGGTGGAGGTGCCTGACCCTTTGCTACGATCCCTTTAGACTCAGCTGGCACCAGAGAGGAAAGAATACTCTGTCATCAGTCTTAGAACCAGCCTGCTGGATGAGCTCCAGAATTTTCTTACTAGGCCATGAAAGAAAAACCCCTGAGCAATTAGTTGTTATATCTAAAAACAAGCATGAAGAATAGCCACAAAATGCTCTGAGCCTGACATTCTTGTGTGGCTTGTGAAAATTATCAACCATATACGAGTTTCAATTTTATTTCACCCCTTCTTTTTTTTTTTTGCTCATCTTTTGAACTTTCACTGCAGCAACAGAGTTGAAAGGCAGAGAAATGAGGGAGGAAGATAAAACGAAAATTGGACCCTTCTCCTGCTTATTAGCCTGTTCTGTTACCATTTTGTTTTACAATGTTCGCTGTTGGAAAAGGTCAAAATAATTTTGCTCTGATGAAAATTCCTATAGTTTTGGCCTTGGTATTTACAAAAACAAAGCAAAACAAACAAACAAACAAAAATAAAACGACCTCCAACTTTAGTAGTCAGTGACTGAGCCCGGAGCGGGGAAATCACCATGAATTCCAATGGTCTTTGTGCAGATAAAATCTAGCTAGCTGTAATATAGCAAATTATTGGGCATGGTGTAGAAAGTTGTTATTTTATCCTATCAACCCCAACCTATAGTGAGGTATTTCAAATTTATGCTTTTAGTAAAAATAAAATCATCTAAGAATGAAAAGGCAATTTGTGAATTATGAGAAATATCCTTGTAGTTAATAAATTGTTCTTAATTCAGGTATAATAGAAAAGGATTTTGATTTCTCTTTAATTGATGGTGTCTGGGAACAAAAACCGAGGAGAAGCATCTGTTTACACTTCCCTCATTAATAAAGCCTCTTTTAAAATTTGGAAATAGGACTCATGCCTTCAGATTATCAGGGCAAGATTATTAGAAGTATTTTCCAGTCTAATTAATAAATCAGAAAGTCATCAGTAGCTATCCTTTAGATGCCACATAGTGCTTTTCTTCTAAAGAATTCAAAGCCTCATAATCCAGAAAATAAACACACAGAAAAAAAAAATACGGATTTAAAGTAGGGTCTTAATGAGATGCCCTATTATGCCAACCCATGTAGAACTAAAACATGGGATTTCAACGATATAATACCTAAATGTTTCAAGATTTACACAGCACCCAGAATATCTAGCATATCATTGGGACCAAGATGCTATTGACTGAAGTCGCTCATTTATTTATTTATTCATTCATTCATTAATTCATTCATTCGTCAAATATTTCATGAGATCCTCCCATGAACCAGGGTTTCTGATTATAGAAGAGAAGAATAAGACAGTGCCTGGCTCGAGAATTCTCATAGAGCATTAACAGACTTGTGGACCAATAATTTGCCTAACGAACATGACAAGGGCATTTTAGAAGTTGTATTCTGGAAAGAGACCCTAAGGCAGAGTTTTGCTGAGCAGCCAGTTTTCAATCAGTCAGTGTTTTTAGTTTTTCTATTCACCATCTTGGTTAGAAGGGGCAGCAAATTAATTGGCAATCTTAAACTACCTTTGATGCTCTCAGTACCATAATGTTGGACTAAGCCTTTTTATTTATAGCTGGGGAAACTGAGAACCA